CGGAGAATTTCCACCACAAAGTGGTGACTAATTCGATCACGAGGTGCGCATATGGTGACACCCCCTGCTGTGAACAAAAATAAGCTTTCCTTCACAGAAAAGTTGATTTGATCATTCCTCTGTGTCTCTCAAACCTCCTCTTCTTCATTTCCAGTGCAGCTCTCTTCCTATTGGGGGTTATTCTTTCTCCCTCTTGTTTCCGAAAGAGTCTTCATCTATACTCCATGGTAGTGCCCATCTCCCTGCATAGAGGCTGCCTTCCACTAATGCCATGGCTTCTTAAATCTCTGATTAGAGCTGCTTTCCCATCCCACACCTCGACATCTTCCATACTGCAGTGTGCCTTTCCTCAGTGTCCACATCAGAAATCTCCTTGACAAGTTTCCAGACAAGCCTGCTTGCTAATTTATTTGATTTGTGGTGGGACCAGCTACTAGCCATGTCGGAGATTTCCTAAGGCTGGAGGCGCCGTTCTGCCAGCCTCCCTCTTGTGACTAATCCCTGTCATTACACACTCAGGGGAGCAACAGCTTATGCTCTGCGTTTATCTGACTTGAACAGGAGATCTAAAATCACCCTACTGCAAGAAGGCTCTGAATATCTCATATCAAGGGCATGGTGGAAACCAGGTCAAAGACACCTCTTCTGCCTGGTCTCCATGGTCTGTGAGTACACAGTGATGTTTGCACTTGCAAAACATCAAAACACTTTGACTTGCCTGGGTTTGATGGCATTATGAAAGGACTTTTATATTGAGAGCTGTGGCAAAAATAGGGGGTTTACTGATCCCAGTATTCTTTCGGGCTTGTTCTTTTGATAGCATTTCCGTCTACTTCACTGTGTTCTGAATTAGCTCTTGAAGTAGGAGTGACAGTCCCTGAGGTAGGATATAAACATCATACGGCTTCCTACTTCTCTGGAAGATATTCAGATACATGATCATGGGCATGGTATAAAAACAAAATCAAAATGTAGTGATCGATCTCTAAATCCAGCCATCCTAAAAGGCATTCCTCTCATATTCTGCTGGATTTGCTCCACTAATAATTGTGGATGACAAATTTCATTATTGTTTATTATAACAGCCCCAAACAACTGAAATGAGCTCAAGTGCTGCAGCGCCTGGTGCCGTGTGTTGTTTCTACACTTGCTATTCCAGAGGCCTTCCCTTAACCACTGAACTGGATATCTCCACTGGCAGAACTACCTCGAGGAGAGAAGTTACAATCACCGCATTACTAATGGGAAGCTGCAGATCAGCCGTTATGACAAGTTTTACAAAGCCCTTGAAGCATGCATGACCTTCTCACAACTTGCCGAATAAGCTAGGAAGTCTGTGACAGCACCTGGTAGAGAGTCCAGCTCTGTGAGATCCTGGTGAAGTAATTCATCCACTAACATCCTGTGGAATACCTGAATCTCAAAATGCAGCACATCCACAGCCCTGCCACAGGTACAGCCAGGTACCGACAGAGACGTTAGGGCTCAGCTTAGGTATTTCTCCTACAACCGCAGGGAGCCTGGGTGCATCAGAATGGGAAGAAAGAAACAACTCTGGTCCTTTGGTGGTGCACTTTGTACCACAGAACAGGACTGCAGGCAATAAACCCTTATTTCTCTCAATTTTTATGGGAATTCATTGGTACAGCCCAGGTGGGATGTAGTGGTTGTTCATCCATGATGCTTTGGAAATGGTATAAACTGGAAGAAAGACAGGAACTAGTATGGTCCTACAAACATGCTGAAGTGACATTTAGGCCACTCTAGCCAACAGCAGGTCAGCTAACCTATTGTGTTTCTGTAGGTAAAATACAGAAACTGCTTTCTGGTGTCAATATTTAATACTTTTGATTTCTTTCTTATTGATACTTGCTGACAGCAGCAGAACTGCGATTTCATGTGAGCAGTCATTATCTGCCAGAAGAGCTCTCCCATGGTTCAGCCTGAGTGAGGAGCGAGGGAGCTATGCATAAAGAATTTATGGACAGTTAGAAAATCCTCATTATTAATCATTTCCACAATTGCACTGTAACCAAATGGCTGCAAGCATCTTCGTTTCAAAGTGAGCGAGTTAATCTAGAATCTCCTTTTAAGTGGATTTCTGCCGTCCACGTAATCTGGGGATTAATTCTGCAAATTTACGTAGTGCTGACATGAAGGGGCTGCTTCTATAGAGAGCTGGGAGAAAGGAATATGTTACTTTTATTAGTTTCCATTCTTCTCATAGCTTCCCAATATTTTATTTTTGCCTTTTTTTATAACTAAAAACACACTTCAGGGCTTTTAAAATACCAAGCTAGATCATTGTCTAGTAAATACATCTATAAGTACTTGGGGTTTTTTTCCGCCAGATAGCACTGTCAGTACTGCCTATTCCAAGCCCAGTTCACCTGGTAACTCTTGCTGCTGGGGGCTGTGGCTTGGGACGGGCAGCACAGTCATATGAGAACAGATCTGCATGCCCCTGCCTGCCCCCACGACCTGCCTACAGGAGAAGACAGAGGTGGCATCATTTGGAAGGAGTGATGGGAAAGGAGGGAGTGGAGCTGCTGCCTGCAGTATGTGGACCACCATGGGAAGAACTTCAACCATGGAAATGTCTCACTGTGCCTTTGCTAAGAACAGCAGCTTTTAGCTCAAGAGTTTAGGATCTGCTCTAAATCAAGTGGTTGTGGGTTGTTTTCGCATCGCAGAGCGGTGGTCCGATGTCAAATGGTGGGTCAAGTGTCATGGATTTAATGGGGGAAGTTAGGCCATCTGTACGTGCCATCACTCACTACAGCTCAGTGGGATGTGAGGAGAAATGCTGAGCTTCTTGCCTAATTGCTCACTTCTTATCTGCATGGAAGTCCCAGAGCTTCTAAACAAGAGCTTAGGGAAGTTCCAACCAATGTCCTTTCTCATGGACCCCGTGATCTAGTATTCACAATCAAGAAGGTGTCATGACTGAGCAGGCCAGAACACCTGGAGTCCCGCGGTTCCTACCACCTCCCAGGCTACTTTCCATTTCTGGCAGTGCTAGGACTCCTCTTGGGCAGGTTGCAAATCCCATGGTTCTCCTATGTGCTGACAGATCCCGCAGCCAGAGGTCTGTTGAATGATTACATTTCTAGATGCGGAAGGAATGAAGTCTCAGGAATTTCCCCGATATCACTGACTCCCTGATAACCTCTTTTTTTTTTTCTCTTTCCCTATGCAGGCTTGCCTGTATCCTTCCTACCTTCTTCAGATGGTTTGAGCAAAGAACACATCAAAGATATAGACACGTCTCTCATCAACTAAATACCAGCAGCCAGGTTATCTGAAGTCATTTTCTGCCTGCCTGCCACCGGGAAGAAAGTGCCTTCAGGGGTTCTCATTGTGTACCCCGAAAGTACACAGCATAGCAGGTCTTGAGTAAACAGAGGCAAAATCAGCATCCCCCAACCTCTTCACTGAAACACTTTGTATTCACAATAAAACCCCTGCTTTGATCTCTTGCCAAGAATAACACAGACAGTCTATTAAAACATCTTTAATAACATGATATAATTAAAAATATCTAACATGCAGCTCAAAGAAATGAATATGAAGCTTGTTTAAATCTGTTTCCACACCCCTCCAAACTTGACTGACAGGTTCCAAACCTTCATTAATTGACCTGAAAATTGATGAATACCCCAATATTATGGGGGAGGGGGTGTGTCCTACATATGCATTGGGAGCACAAGAGATCAATAATCAGATTTGAAAGGATTCAGCTGCCATGGTCTCTTTAAAAATCCTGCAAGGCACATCACTGCATCTGTGAGCATTTAAATTTCTGTTTAAAGTGGTCTGCAATGAGTTGGAGACACTCATCCCCTGTGCAGCCTGTGTGTTTAAGTCTCTGAAGCAATTGGAGAAGTGAACTCTCAGTTCAAAGGACAGTGTTTGTCTGAATCCATCCCTTTTCTTCACAATAACACAGGGAATTTGTACAGCACTTCATCTTTTAGATGAGCAGACCAGACCAGAGGAGCTGGAATGACTGCCAAGTCCCAGAGGAATCCTGAGTATTGGATTGTAAAGTAACTCTGTTCACAGTCTAATATGAAAGTCATTGGACTGACAATTAGGAAAGCTGCTGTTCGTGGGCCTGCTCATGTCTAAAGGACAATATTGGATGAGATACTTCACTTTCAGAGTCAGCGAGACAAGCAGGTCAGTGCAAATGAATGAACTGGTGAACTTCAGCCCAGCATGCACCTGATTTTAGTAGATGTGAAATGAAATGTGTTCATTTAAGTCCTGGCTAAAGAGTTTAAATTGGCAATTTTAACCCTGCATTGCCATGACTCAGCTGAGAGGCAGGAACTGAGCTGCACATCGGTGCCCTTTGTTTTTCCTTTGATGCTCTGCACATTTAGTAGAGACCAAGACTAAAAAAGCATTGCTTTTGGTCAGCAGAAGCATTCACTGGAAGGGATGTCACTGAGATGGAAGAACAGACAGATCTGTAGTAGCAGGCAGAAAATACCTGCTTTTCCCCTAGAACATGGAAGCAAATGGGCTGTTACATTCTGACTATGTTTTAATGCTGTTCCAGTCTTCACTAGCGGCAATACTGCAAGTATCATCTCTCTTGTGGGCACAGAAGAGGACAGAGCACCTTTTTCAGACACCACCTGTCCTGATTAGACAGGATTATTCACTATTAACTTTACAATAGCTCAAGGCCTGCCTGGTCAGAGGCATTGTTTCATTAGGCTGACACCAGTGATCTCAGCTGCAGCCCGAGCAAGATCTGTGCAGGCTGCTCTGTCATTTGGAGAACGAATAGCTTGCCATCCACTGGGAATCACAGGCTTCCTGTGGAGTCTCAAAGTACAGTAGTGCAGGTGCTGGGAAGTTGAAATAAGGCACTGAGACTCTGTGAGTCCTGCAGGAAAATCACTTGCATCCTCCCTTACACCTGTGTGATTTCTGTTTGTACCCTATTAACTGCCCTCCGGCAAGAGTATCGAGTCCCAGAATAACTATCAGTTGTCATCAAAAACACTGCTGTTCCTGTTACTGAAGCTGTTTTCCTTGACCATCACTCGGTATGAGATGCGCATGAAAGAGCCAGTGAGCAGCACGACAAAGAGGATAAGGAGCAACGACCAGACCCCTGGTTCGATCCCCTTGAGGAAGTTTGGGCTGCCCTGGGGGATGGTGTTGGTCAGATTCAGCAGGTACCCAAGAGTCCAGCCAGACGATCTATCACCCATCTATTGAAACAAAAAGGAGGAGAGGTCAGAAGAGAAGGAGACAGTCTAGACTCCCACTGTGTTCATGCACGTACACCTAAGGCATATATACTTTATTTGAGACTGATCCAAGGACTGGGCTTAGACACAAGGACCTCTTCTGGTCTCAGTGCCCTAGTGCACTAATAGGCCATAGTTGCCCTGACCAGCCTCACCTGGGGCTTCCACCCACCCCTCTGCCTGTGGCCATGGGAGCTCCATTTAAGCTTTAGCCTGGGCAGCAACCTTTCCTGAGCTGTGCTGTAGGTGTGTGCTGTTCCTTCTCCTGCAATTACTGACTGGTTCTCCCAGATGGACCTCAGGTCTACGTGGTGGATAGTTCTGCCTCTGGCCCTGCTGCCTGGCTGAACCTCAGGTGCTATGTTGTAGGTAGCTTGGCTCTGGCTTTCCCAGCTGGGTTCCTGGGATAGACCCTGGACCTACCTCATCACCTTGCCTGAGTCTGATGATCACAACATGGCTGACTGAACTGCTGTCACTGATGTGGCCCTGCTCAGTGGGACTGTGCCTTTGCTGGTAAGTTGAGAAGAGGCCTGGGAATAGGCTTTCTTTCATTTTGTGAAGGGGAGGACCTGAATCAAATCCCCCTTTCCTTAGGGGCTCCAGATCCTGAAGCAATCTCAGACCTTATAAGTCAGTTATAAACCCTTGCTAATATAAGGTGATTGCAAAGGTGTAGGACATATCTCTTGGCTCAGGAAGTATTATCACCAGTTTGTCCTTAGCATTCAGTGGTGACCGTTCCCTATTGGGCGTAGACTCTTAAAGATGGTATTGCCACAGATATGTTTTTTTCAGGGGGGACAAGTGTAGTCTCTAGTTTTCTGACACTGGTATTCTTGCTTATCACAATTGTGAATTTATTTTGCAAAAACATCTTTCTGGGGAAACCTAAAACCTAGCTGGTTAGGGCTTGCAGGAGTGGGGACAGGCTGGCTTTGCTGAAACCAGCCCTCTCTTGTAATTGGAAATACCACGCTGTAGGTAACTGACCTTCTGGAATGCAGTCCAAACAGACCTGTCAAAGTCAACTGTGTATCCCTTTGTACTGAGATGAAAGATGAAGGTGGACACGATACAGTAATCAGCAAGGGTATCCAGGCTTGTTTGGGACTCCTTGACTAGCTGGTGTCATTTCCAAAAGAAGATGAAGAGGGGAAAAAATAAAAGTAAACATTCAGTAGTTGAATTTCAGGCTTGCTATGACCTCTCCTTTCCTGCTCTGGGACACAAGGAGGGGTTTGTGTCCTATGCAGACTGAAACTGTGTTTCCCGCACCTACAGGGCTGCGGTCTGGGAATCAGGGTCATCTCTTGGTGCCTTTGTTCCCATCTTATTAAAGACCAGGCAGTTCCAAGATCAGCAGGACTGGCAGGCGGGTCTCCTGCAGCTGCCTTGGAGGTGAACTGCTTGGTATGATTCTCTGCTCTCTAATTAGCTTGAGCTAATGCTGCAGCCTCTCTCTCAATAGGAGCACTAACAAGATCTTTCTCCTCTATGCAGAAGAGAAGGCTTTAAGGAACTGCTTATGGGCTTTGCTACCCCATAAAAATTGCCCAATTTGAATGTTACTGTGGATGCTCAGTCAGTGTAGGTGCAAATGAGGGTGACCTCATAAGCCACCAACTGAGGGAAAGAACTTGCAAATTCCCCTGGCTTGGTTTCCATGGGCCCAGGTGAAGTGGGAAAGCCCCTGGAGTCTGAGTGGACATGTTCCTTGCACTTAAGGAGAGGAGGATAACAGGAAGACCAAGGTGATGTACAGGACTGAGTAGACAGCCTTCCTGTTTACTCCTTAATATGCAGTAAAAATGCAGTAAAAAGGTACTTGTGGCTTTTCATTTAATTAAGTCCAGGTGTTGCCAGCAGCAGCAGCTGGGATTTGAGAGGAAGGAAAATAAGTGGAGCCCGTTTCCTCAAAGTAAAAAAACCAAAACAAAACCAACAAAAAACCCCAAACCCAGCCAAACAAAAAAAAACCCTACAAAAAGCCAAAACCAAAAAACCAGGCAAATCCAAGTTTTTCCCTGAGGGAGCCAGTAAGTTACGGCTCTGTCAGTCTGAGCCCCGTGGGCTTTTACAACAAACTGTTCCTTGCTTCCCTCTCTCCCTGCACTCAGTTATTCCAGTTACCTCTTTGACGGACATTCCACAAAGCCTGTAGACTGCCTGACTCAAGTCAGAAGAGGGTATGGTTTTTCTCATGAAGTCAATGGCTTCAGAAATCACCTACAACGGCAGCAGAAATAATTGTCAGGTTGGACTGTGCTCTGCATCCTTGCGCTGCAAACAGTGCCTATAGGAAAGGAAGTGGCAGTAACTGTGGGGCACATTGCCAGCGTGCCCTCTCTGTGGACTTGTGTTGGTGGTTACAGGGTCTCTGATGTGCACAAGGAAAACAAGCGGATCTGTTACTGTCCAGAGATAGAAACGGGACTGCTTCTAGCTTGCCTAGCAGTCTTCCTGGCCTGTCTGCATAAGTAGGCAGGGCCTTATGCTCCTTGGCACAGTGTCCGTGGGAGGCTCTCAGGAGCTGGGAAGACTTCTGAATTTCTTCCCTCTGCATTCCTTCACTGAAATGCACTCAGCTTCTCCTAGGATCTTGAGATGGTCCTGGCTAATGTCACAGAGACTCTGGACACCAGATCCAGGATCTCAGGTATAAGCATGCTTGTGGTGGAGTATGCCCAGATGTTTGCTCAGAGTGACAGAGGATCTTCAGCTTTACAGTGTCCTTGGTGTAGGAAGACCTGCTTAGAATGCAACTCCTGACTTCCTGATTCTTGCTGGCTCATGTGAGCTCCTTTACAGCTCTGGAGCCCCAAAATTTGTCTCACAAGCAGACGTTGATGAGACATGGATGAAGAAAGCCCTACCGCAGTCATTGGTGGGAAGCCTGTGGTCCATATTGGAACAGCTGTGTGCAAGTGAGGGGGAGAGGGCAGGAGTGCATGTGTACAGCATTAGCACTGTGTATGGAGCATTAGCCAGAGCACTGGCCCTCTTGGCTAGCAGAGGGCACAGCGTGGCTGTTCCAACTGTATGTATTAATGACCAAATTGGTCCCATTTCATGGGTTCTCCATACCAGTTGTCTACCCCAGTGTAAATGAGAACCCACCAGAAACCTGGTCCAGAGGGGCTTGAAAAGATTGCTGAAGGAATGCTTGAAGAAACTGCAGGAAGAAGAATTGAGCAGGCTTTGCACAAGTCTCATGCAGGCGATGGGATTGCTGGAGCCAGTGATGTTGAAGACTTCATCAGGGTCGGGGATGTCCAATGTGTCATCACTGATAGCACAAGGCCCAGCGTGCACTGAATGCCACTGCAATTCCCGGGAGTAGGTGAGGGGCCAGCAGGGATTAGACACGGTCTTAGCACTTCTCTGTTCCTAGAGAGGCAGAATAAAACAGGGATGCGGGCAGCAAGGAAGGAGGTTGGCATCCCAGGGCTTCACAAAAGAAGACAAAATGCAACACAATGAAGAACAGTTTTTCTCTGGCACCACAATGTTGTAAATGAGCGATCAGGCTGCAAAAGGTTTGCCAAACCTTATCTCAGCTAGCCAACTGCAAGGCCCAGGCTGCTGCAGCAGGCTCCCAGCTCCTGTGGAGTTCAGGGTAAGCTGCAATGCCTGGACCTGTGGTGAGAGGCCGAGGAGTCCCAGCCCTACCTGCTCTCCCCTAGGCCAGAAAGAAAATTTCAATGATTCCTGCACTCTTTCTAGTTGCAAGAAAGAGGCTGTTCTGGTCTGCCTTCCAAAATGGCTCAACCCCTCAAGAATCAGTGTTTCTCATCTCTAGGAACTCCCCAATACAACTGGGGTGAAGTGGGTGTCCATGTGGGACATTTGGGTCTCAAATAAGGGCAGGGGTCGTTTATAGGGAGGCAAGTGGATGGGCAGTGAGCAGTTTATTTCTCAGAAATTCAGTTTTGGTGGAGACTTTGCATCAGATCCTGCCACCTCCCCGTTCAAGTGAAATAAAGTTTGGATGAACCAAAACAGCTGTATGTTTTCAAAATGAAATATTGTTCTTTTGAAGACTGCTCCAAGGTTAAAGTCGGCAAAGGACAGAAATATCCCAAATGAAAGGTCCCAGTTGGTTCCTGGGTGCTGTTGCTTAGGCTCCCTTCTAGGGTGGAGGAGCAGTTCAGAGGAAACAAGGGAAATTTTTGCCTTGCTCCACCCTAAGGTGATCTTCTGGAGTGCAACTTTGTGCTTGTGTGTGTTAAGTAAGAAGCCAAATACAGCCTGCAAGTAGGAAGCTCTGGAATGGGTGAGCTGTGTGCCTGCTTGGAGGACATTCATTTAGGCATAGAGAGTACGTTTGACAAGCGCACTGGGCTTTTTTAGCTCTATGTAAATGCCTTCTATTAAAGACAGTGATTGACATTTTCCCATTAGCAGCTATGCCTTATGCAACGGTCATTCAGTGCAGAGGGTTGATATTATATCCAAGAACCTTACAAATGTCCTTCTGGCAGATACTCACTTGAATGAGCATAGAGAGCAGCCTGTTGCGGAGCTGGTCCGTGCCGTGGCAGGGGCAGTGATGAGTGTACACATTGTGTGTCTGTCCATACAGCTGCAGCCTCACTCCCTCTTTTGGTGCCTGGTTCCCTTCTTCCACCTTGGAAGTAAGCTGTGCTGCGGTTCCTCCCACAGACAGAACTCCTGCCAACCCCTTCTCAGGGGGGACCAACTGTCCTCGCCAGTCGTACTGATCCAAAAAGAACCACAGAGGTCAGTTCTTAAGACTTCTACATCTGGGTCGCAGTCAGATGCAATTATTGCACAGAGAGAGAAAGCAGCTCTGGTGCAGTACAGCCCAACTTTTTTTTTTGTTGCCCACAGGACATGAGGATGCTGAACTGGTGGCTTTGGAGGGAACAGAGGAGCCATTGTACAAGCACTGCCATCTGCGCAGAGAGCTCCCCACAGCCAGCGAAAGCAAACAGGGCACACAGCCGTGGATGGCTGTTCAAGGCACTGGTCTTGGCAGGTAGGAGCAGGGGAGAGAGGAGGGGTGGTGGTGGTGTGGAATGGGAAGGAGGTTTCCAGGTGGGCAAATATGGGCTTCAAGTGCTGCCTTGATGCTAAAGTGATCTTCCTGTCAAAAGAACCCTGTGGTTTCATCTCCTGCAGTCTTGCAGAACTGATTTTGGCTGAAGTTAGCAGTGCAGGCAGGAATGTTTACAGGGTGTAAGCACTCTGTCCCTGGCTAGGGGAGGCTGTGTTGCTGCCAGCAGGGCCAGCAATTCCTGAACCAGTGCGTGCTTGCTGCTGGTTATCAGAACTGCCTTTCACTTCCCTGATGTGGAATAGCTCGGTGTAATCCACCTTTCTCTTGCCCTTTGAGTTCTTCTTGAGACCCTTTCGCTTGAGAAGCCGTGAGTAGAGCAAGGAAACTTAAATATATTCTTTTTGTTTAGCGACTGCCTTCTGAATCCAGACCAGGCCTCTGTGCTGGGGACACCCAGCTACACTCTTGCTAGCATCTCAATGAGAGTAAATTTGATGGGCTTTTGCTTTGGCAGCAAAAGACTCTGCTTCTCTGTCCACCAATTACAGGATGTCCCATGGGACAGCTGGACTCCAGTGGCAATCCCACAAGACCCCACAGACATAGCAGCATCGCCTGTTTGACAGCGGTGCTGAGCTAGACCTGCAGTGACTCAGGGCAGTAGAGCTCGTGCTGACACCCCAGGGTCAGGCTATGCAAGGTTATCTGTGTGAGCATCCTGGCTGTTCTGTCCAGAAAGCCTCACATCTGTTAGGGCAACTGCATGACCATGTCCATGAAAAGCTGTATTAGAGGTTTGGTCCTTCAGCCTAGTTTTAGCCATCTGACATTATGTCCCCCAGCCAGCTGGTGCCCGATATAACCTGCCTTCTCTGAAAGACAGTGGAAGTTGTGCTTAAGCATTGTTTGAAGTATAGGGCTTTAACGATCCCTCCACGTGTCTTTGTGGCTGTTTGCTAACGAGAGTTGCTTAGCTCAGTTCTGTACTCCCCAGGCAGGGTTGTCCTTTACCTTAAAGAAGTTCTCCAGGACATAATTAACAGCAACCCAGTTGAATGCTTCCTTTTCTGGATTGGACAGGATTCGTGCCCCCTGAAAGTCAAAGGGGGATGACTTCAGGGCTGCAAGGAGATCGTCAGAGAGGGTGGGATGGGTGAGGCTAAACAAAAAAGAAAAAGAAGGCACATTTGTTACAAGACCTTGCGGAGCAGCCTGCAGTGGAGGCGCAGCTGCAAGGCTACTTTGGGTAGTAGCACAGAGACACAACGACAGTCCCACTGCTGCTGCTACTTCCCTCTCCCCTTGCACAGCACTGGGAGCAAGAACAGCAGAGAGATAATTTGAGCGGTTGTGAAGCCATTCAAGAATTTAGGAGTTCAGTACTATCTGCCCCTGAGGGATCCTGTGGCCTGACCCTCTCCAGATCTTACTTTTCCTCAGTGACTAAAAAGAGATAATGGTCCCAGTAATGAGGTGACTGAGAACAGGGTCCACAAAAGCGTGTACGATAAGGTGGATCTTCCCGCCACCGCTCCCAACCTGCTGACAAAGCACCACCTCTGCAAGGCCATGTGGGTTATCACATAAACTGAAAACCCTTCAGCTTCCAGACTGACAGATGTTTTTCCAAGCACTAATCGTGAAGGTGATTTTACAGAGATTGGTAGCAGTAGCAAGATTGTCATCCTCGTGGCTGCTTGGGGGACAGTATGGAGACACAGCCATGCTGTACTCCCCCTGAGTGTGCGGGGACCTGAAGAAGGTTTACCTGACTAGCAGATTAGGGATGAAACACACTGCAGAGCAGACAGGGTGAGATGCATTTACAGAATGATCCACGTGACGTGTGCTGATCTCTGGGTGTGGGTTTGCAACATTCACTCACTTCGGCTGCCTCACGCTGGTAGTTGCTCCCAAGTAGAGGGGGGTTTGGCTGTGCTGTTCTGCTGGGATCTCTTTCTGGGCCCATGTCAAACATGTCTCCAAGCTCTTCCCTACTTTCTGAGGAGAATCTGAGTAGCTGGATATTCCCGGACCTGAGGACCAGGGGAAAGAATGAAATTTTATAAGGAAAGATATGGGAGAAGTGTGAGAGCTGTTAGCCAAGAGGTTGCTGTCCTCAGGCATGGTTAAAGACAGCACCTGTCACAGGTGGAATGAGAGTTCCTCTAGGTAGCTGTCCTGGTAGAGGGAGCAAAACAGCACATGGATGTAAATCCCAAATCGCACACAGAGAACCCTAGCTCTGCTGCTGAGACACCCCGTAAATGACCACGTATCAGCCATGTGACTGGTGCACCAGCTGAGGCTGTCTGAGCCCACAGAGGAAGAAGTGTGGCTTTAGCCACTATAAAATATAAGCAAAAGGACACACTGCCATGCAGATAGAGCTCAGACTGATGAGTCAGCTTCTCCTCCAGCCACTTCCTCTTGTGGTGGTGGAGGTGGCTTCTGAGCCCTGCGCCTGCAAGCAAGACGCCTCTGCTCTAGAGGAAGCTGGTGCTGTGCAGAGAGAAGTTGTGTGCATGCTTTGACTCCTCTTTCCCAGCAAGATTCAATGAGGTCTTAAATGCTGGTTTTGAACTGTTACCCAGAAAGAGCTTCACTTTCCCCATCCTCTGGCCCACTTGTCTTCCTGGCTGTGTGACTCCCTCGCCATAAGCTTTGCTCTCCTGGGCCCTGTACAGGGCTGAGCTGCAGCTTGGCTATGGCCACTCAAAGGCTGTGACCATAATACCAAAGTCTACTTCATCTGGGAGAGGCACCTGCCTGGACCTCTTGTGCTGCTGACACGCTGTTGCAGCAGAAGGTTCAAGTAAGTCTTCAAGCACTGAGCTACAGTTGCTGTTTTTAACCCAGCCAGTGAACGTGGCAGCAGTCAAGGGATGTGTACAAGGTTTCAGGAAGCCCTTGTTTCATCTTCTGTATGTGGTTTGTGTTCCTTACAGCCTGCAAGGGCACAAACTCTCTTCCCTGCTTGTTGTGCAGCTGCCCTCCCACAGCATGCTGCTACTGAGAGTTCAGGGTTTCCCAGCATGCTGCTATAATCAGGCTTCAACATCAAAGCAATACTGAGAGACAGGGAAGGAAAACCCCAAGCATTAATGCATGAAACACTTTCAGCTGACTTTGGCAGGGTCAAACAGATTCAAACTAGTAAGGAAGATTCCCAATATTCTCCAAAATGTGACACCTAAACCCAAGTTGAACTTGTGCTGTCAAACTGCACGTAGGAGGTGTGGAGTCTTTGTACCTCTCTTGTCCGGGAGCTACACCACTAACTGCACAGAGTACAGTCAGAAGAAGGCAGAAGACACCAAGAGTCAGCCTGCAGCCAGATTTGTCTCTGTTGCTGTTCACTGTCTTGCCTGGGTGAGAAGCTCAGCAGCCTTGGCTCTGCCACTGATCCACATGGACATCAGGACCAGCCCCATCCTCTCTGTGTGCTTCCCTGCCTGCAGCAGGCCAAAAAAACCTGTCATCTGCTCCTGCCAAGTGCTCTGACATCCAGCTGTGTGTGGCTAGATCTGCCCCTGTCGAGAAGATCCATGCTGAAAATAAGCAGCTTGTGCTTTACTCTCACCGCTATTTCAGTGTACAGCTAGATGACACAGGAGCCAAGGAAATTGCGGCAATGGTCCATGCCCAGATCTCTGGGTTTCCATCCATCCCGTGCCAGTCCCACAGAGCACCAAGTGTGAATTTGGCACCTTACCTTGCTCAGGACAGGCACTACATTCCCTGATCAGCCTGGTCTTGTTTGCGTTGGTGGTGGTCCACTGGTAGATGAACAGGATGGTGCGGGATGGGCCAGCATCCAGAACAATTCCGTACTGGGAAAAAACCCAAAACACTCTAGATAAACACGACTGAATGCATGCTGCTTTGTTATTGGAGGGTTACTCAGCATTACGTAGGTGTTCTGGGTAACCCATGGGCCTGCACTGCAGTATTTGAGTTAGCTTTTTACGTTCAAAGAAAGGATGAAGCCAGAAGATGATGTGGATTTGCAGGGAACCATCTGCATTTCTGAATATACAGGAGGAGCAGCAGGAGTGGAGAGACACTAATACATCAGACCTCTAGTGACATGCTCTGTAGCTATTCCTTAAACCAGGCAGAGGGCTTCCACTGAGGCCTGAGCCACCTGGAGCTCAGGAAAAACAGGTCCTAAAGGAATGGGAGATGACACTATATAGGCTCTCGACTGATTCTGGGACTCAAACTGTTGCTGGATTGGTTTGCTAAAGAGCTTCATGCAGGAATTGGAGAGCAGTGGTTTCTTCCTGCTTCTGAGGAATCCGAGATCTGCTCCCACATCTGTTTGCCCCACTGCAGAGATGGTGCGACACGGGCTGGGTTTGCCTTGATGCGTGTCAGACTTGTGGGAGCTGCAGCGCGCTGGGACCAACCAGCACGTACACTGTCCAGTGCAGCAGCCCTGAGGAGGATAACATCTTGGCAGAAACAGCAGCAACTATCGTAAGGTTTCTCAACACCTTGTCCACTGACTGTTCTCCTGATGCCTAGCACTGAGGTGAGGGCTTTCTTTAGTCTCTTTGCAGCCCAGCATCTGGTCTATTTGCTGCTGACTGAGCCTTGCTGAGCTGCACCTCATGTGTGAGGATAGGAAATGAGAAGCCGCTGGAGTACCCTGCAGCAGCATGGCTCTGTGGCTGTTTTGGATGTCTCCAGACCCAAAATAGCCCTGGTGCTAGCCTGCGGTCATCTGCTCTCCCCACTGTTACATGACCCCAAGCTGGGACATCTACACAGACAGGAAAGAAACTTGTGAGATCTGGGAGGTATATGGTAGTGCATGGTCTTGCACGGAAATAGTTGTAGCTGTGACTGAGTGGGAAGAGAAACCTCCTCAGAGGTTGAGGTTAACACCATCAGAAGGGGTTTAGCACAAGGCAGAGCCTGGCCGCAGCCTCCGAGCAAAGCTGGCTGCCTGCTGCCTTCCTGGGAGCTCGCAGCTGCACCCGACGCAGCCAGGCAAGGAGCTGGTGGGACTGGAGCTGGAGCAGAAATGCGGAAGGAGCTCCCTGCCTGAGCCTGCTAGTATCCTCCCACACGAGTGACAGCTTGTATTTCTTGCAGGGACATGTTGGCTGCCACAGAAGAGGAAAAACCGAATGGTATTGGCAGAGAAACCTGGTTTTTTTTTTCCTCTTTCACAAAATGAGGGGCTGCTGCTGGGAGCACAAGGGAGGAGAAGGGATCACTGGTTTTCTGCCCCAGCTCAACACCAGGAAAGGGTAGAGTGCTCGCTGGGCAGACCATGGAGCAATAAGGGGTTTTTTAATCCAATTTTGTTTCTGAGAGGAGCGTGGAGGAGGGGTAGTATCTCTAAACACGCAGGTTAACCTACTTCTGTTTCAGTAAACCATAGCGTGCCATTGATCTCACCTCAGCAGTGGTGCATCAAGAGGCAGAGCGGATGGGCATTAACCCCCTGGTCACTGGGCAGATCTGATCCCACTGCGTAGAGCAGGTTGGCTCTTTGGTTAAAATCAAGAGAGAACAAGAGGAAAAGGCATGGAATTTTTTTTTGAGAGATGCAGCAGTTCAGGGCCTGACTCTCAAGAGGGACCTAGGTCTTTCCCTCCACTGACAATCACTGGTCCCTTGCCGCTCTGGGGTAGCTCCTGACATGGGCTGCCTCTCCTCAGCCTGTGGCGAGCATCTCTGCCGGATGATATCCAGCTGTATTTCACTGACCAGCCAAAGGGGTTGGCTTGTTTTTGATTTGAAAAGCTACAGCATGTTGAAGGATACAAACCCGTCTTCACAGTTTTGTTCTAGTCCCTTCCTCAGTTTGTTGTTTTGGGCTAGTAACTCAGTCAGTAGTGCAATGAATGTAAAAAGCAACAAAACACACTGGGTTTTAGTTTAAATGTTTGGTTTGCACAAGGAAACAAGCAGGTTCTCCTAAAGAAGCAGCCCCACAGGTGAAGAGAAGGTCCTTTGCTTACTGCCCTGCTTGACCCCCGGCTTGGCCACCCCTCGGGCAGGCGGATGCCCTTACCTTGATCCTGGGAGGGGTGATGGGCACATCTTGAGTGGAGACGCAAAGGAGCACAATGCCCGTCAGTCCCGCTACAATCACCATCCAAGGGGGAAGGAGTTCACGCCAAGACATGAAGCGCTTTCTCCTTTAACAAAGAGTCAAAAGAGGAAGCAGCAGAGCAGCAAACTGACAGTGGCTGCTTTTTACAACCTTTAAAAAGAGGAGAAAGGCGGGGCCGGGGCCAGGCTCTAACTTCAGCCCAGCCACAAGGAGTGCGTGGGCCAGGCTACCATGCGTCAGGCAGTTCTCCCTTCCATCGCTCCACGCAATAAATAAAACGATGGCTTCATTCCTGTTCCAGTGCGAGCTCTGCAAAGGCATCGGTGCAACCTCGAAACTGCCCCAGGTGACGGGGGTTGAGGTAAACAGAAATGTGGGGTTAAGTCAGCTGTGTAATAAGCAGAAAGCAGGCAAAACTCATCTGTTTGGTATTCTGCGCCTGGCAGTGCTAGCTGCCAAAATTAGAAGTGGGGAAACTCCTTGACGCTGGGTTTACTTTATATCTGAGGGCTCCAGGGTGAACCTGGGGTGCTCCCCTATTGGGTTCCTTCAGACTGCTCCTGTCTCCCCGTTCACTCTCAGAGAGCACCTGGGACAGGAAAACATCTGCATGTTTGGGTTTCCACCCCCAGGAGACTCTGGCTGGTTTGGTCTTTGCTGTGGGGGGCAGATGGCGGGGGCTGCTCCTGTCTTTTTTCCCCCAGGAGTCCAGAGTCAGTGTAGGTATCTGTATTCCCCTTCCCGACAGCCTCCCCATGAAAGATAGTCACCCCCCAGACTTTACAAAACATGTGCCTGCTTTCTCCTTTCTGGTGCCACAAAGACGCGTCCCTGAAACCAGAATTTCTGAAGAAAAATATCTTAGTCCCAAGAGTGGTGCTTCTTTTGGGCTGTCCCCATCAGTTTCCCAGTGACTAGGTCTAGGAATAAAAGTGCAACTCCTTTAAAGAAATGTTTTTGTTTGTGTGGGCTGGACCATTTATTGGTGAGGTTATCTTGTTCCCACCAGGGGACTTCACCAACCAGGCCTCTGTGTGCAGAGCTAAAGGAATGACACCTTCTTGGTCTTGCAGGGTATTTGAAGATGCATCTCTCTGTCTCAGAGTTGTTTTAAGTGAAGTGCCAGAATTCTCTCACCTTCCTGCAGACTTTAGACTCCAGTTCAGATTATGCTGGTCAGCAACTAGAACGCATCCGCAGATGTCCCGTAGTGACAGGACAAGGGGCAAAGGTTTTAAACTGAAAGAAGGTAAGTTTAGATTGCACATAAGGAAGAAATTTTTTACGATGAGGGAACAAGTTGCCCAGAGAAGCTGTGAATGTCCCATCGTTGGAAGTGTTCAAGGCCAGGTTGGATGGGACTTGGAGCAACCTGATCTAGTGAGCGATGTTCCTGCCCATGGCAGGTGGTTGGACTAGGTGATCTGTGAAGGTCCCTTCCAACCCAAACCATTCTGTGATTCTTTGTTTTGCTTATGTGTGGGATGACAACGCTCTTTGCAACAGGGACATAGATTAAATTGCCAGAGTGCCGACAGTCCTCTTCCCTCTGCTCTCCCGGCTGCCCGGGAGGACACGCAGGCTTTCACGCGCTTTGCTGGTGAGGATTTGTGCCGCGAACAAAACAAGTGCCCCCGCCGTCCTCCTGTCTCAAAGAAACGCTGCATGTGGGATACGTGTAGTGGCTGCTCACACCGGGGTGGTTGGCCGAGTGCTCATGCCTGTGGGTTGGTCATGGTAGGCCGAGTGCTCATGCCTGTGGGTTGGTCATGGTAGTTTATACCAATATCCGATATATTGACACCTAAGGATATCCAGGAGCTATGGAGGAGCTGCCAGATCCTGCCATGGTCAGGCCAGTCCTGCTCCACTCTCGTAGAAACCACTTGCCAGCAGAGCAGCGTGCGCCTCCATCTGCGCAGGGGTTGGTTTTGCAGCTGGGAGGAGAGGGGAAATGAGGCACCTAAAGGCGTTGCAGTAGCTCATGGCTGGGAATAGCAGAGCGCATCCGTTCTCTTGCCTGGATGTCGGGGTTCACGGGGGTCTGTAGACAGACCCAAGTGGTTTGAGGGGCTCTAAATCACATAGGTTTTGCCTCGATAGTTATACTAACTGGTGGGCAGACGCCAAAGGGGTTTCTGCGGTGGGCTGGACTGACGCAGCTCCATTCGGTCCTGGCGCCTGGCTGCAGATCTCACGAAGGACAAAGTCGGATTTTTTTTTTTTTTCCCCCCACGGCAGTAGCGGCGGAACCTTTGTGCGGCG